GAGAGGCATACTATGAGAGCAGGGATGCGTTCAAATGTAGTCAGTAATTTGAGGAACTGTCGAAATGGCGAACGCAGAGAAAGTTGAGCTCGAAAATCCTCCAGCATCATTGAAGTCTCCGGTTTGGGAACATTTTGGTTTCGCAGTTACGTACAAGGATGACGGACAAAGACAGGTGGACAAAACCAAAGCTGTTTGTCGCCATTGTTAAACTAAAATTGGTTACGCGGCTGGCAATACATCAAACGTGCACACTCATTTGAAAAGGCATCACCCGAACGTGAATATCACCGGTACCAAAAGAAAAAAGACTGAAGTGCAAACCCAACTCCCACTAGCATTTAAGCCTCCACCACTCGCAAAAAGTTCAGACCGAGCCAAAGCTATTACAAATGCCAAATATCCTTATGTTGACATGTTAGCAAAGCGCTACCTGGCTGTATCTGCTACCTCTGTACCTAGCGAGAGGGTGTTCTCCACAGCAGGAAACCTTGTTAGTGCCAGCAGATCTGCCCTTTCGGCAAGCAATGTGGACAAGTTCATTTTTCTTTAAAAAAAAAACAGGAAAATACAATGACAAGCAAGTCATAATGTCAAACTGGCTGCTTAGGTACTAGTACAGTTCAAATACAGATTATTTCAGTTAATCGAAATGCTGCACCTTAATGTTTATTTTATTATATTTTGTATTTATTTGAGTGAATAAATCATTCACAGTTTAATAATAATTAAAAAAAATAAAAATAATTGTTTACGTTTTGTGATAATTTTTTCTGCTGTACCGAAAACGTACCGAACCGAAACGTGACCTAAAGACCGAGGTACGTACCGAGCCGAAATGTTTGTGAACCGTTACACCCCTATTAGATATACATTAAGTCCAACCCTCACATGAACCCAACAATCTCCATACTCCTCATCTTATACCAGCCTACAAAGCACACACAGGAATTCCTCAATCTCATCACCTTATTACTCTTCCCCGCTTTTCAACGTTTTTGATATGACACATATAGGAGGGACTATAATAGTATCCAAATTTAATCTTCTCATACACGCTTTACCATCGTGCATTAATGATAACTGGCAAGTTTGATTTAAAGCACAGTCAGTGTTCAATGCACTTGAATGCAATGGCCTTTGACTTTAAGTTGACCTTTAAATGCCAGGTTGATACCTTCCCGGCATTTCGCCTGAACAGATAGAAGGAACACCAGACCCCGAGCCCCTACTAGAATGGGAGCATTTTAGAGACACCAATACAACAGTGCAGCAAATAACAGTCCTCACCCTCACAATATTTACAGTCATGTCATTCTTATATGAAATAGAAGTATATAGAACTGACAGCAGCATTTCCTGCTGTCTCAAATTCTCTGTGTGTTCAATGTTAAAATTTCAGCCGTTTATTGTTACCAGTTTAATGTTTAACTAGTAACGACTATTGATGGAAGTCTTTTAAAACAGGATCAAACCCAGACCTTCTATATTTAGAAATGCATGCTTGAATCCATTGGATATCCACACGTGTAAGGCACAACAACAAAATGAAAATGTGCCATCTATTTTTTTTTTAGATGCTCTCTTGTAAACCTATTTAAAAAAGGTAGAAGAATGATTGTGAGGACTTGGGGAATGGATTGTGCTGAACGTTTCTATTGGTGGACTCTTGTTTCACCCACCCCACCTACCTACCCTGATTATGCTAATCCAAACATCTATGTAGAAAAGCTCTACTTCAAATCACAAACTGTTTCAGATTAAGCAAACATTTGAAATCAATGATCGACTAACAGCCATCTCCCACAGCCCCCCCAACAGTTGCAGCAGCTGTCACCCCCACAACCAGTTTGCCCTAAGAAATATAGAAAGGGAGAGCACAGAAAAACATAAAGCTGAATATAATAGTTTCTTCTTTTTAAGCCATATTATGTATTTATTATGGCAGCCTTTTTAAAGCGGTAATGGCAGTAGCTGTTTCTTTGCAAGGAGATTTTTGATTGGGACATTTGTTACTGTCAAGGTTATTTTGCTATAATCACAACTATGAATCAGAATTGTGCTGAACGGCAATAAGTGGCATTACTTTTTTTTATGTCAACATGAACCTTGAATAGGAATCAAAGAAAAAGCTCATGTCATAACAATGAGGCAGATCATTAAAAACAGGGTTTTCAAATAAAGTGAAGAGCATATTAAATTATGTGACATTATGAAATGAATGAATGCCCCCCACCACCAACTTTGTTATGTGCTTATGTGCCCTGTCCCTTGATTGTTACACAGTAATATGAAGACAGCAGTTCCAGTCATGCAGGATGAGTACTCACTCCACAACATCGTCCTGATCAGCAAACTCTTCGTCATTGAAGCCGAACTGCTCAATAAAATTGGACGTCATTTGTTGCATCTGATAATCAGAAAAGGCCTGGCAAAACCCAGGACCAACGATAATGATATAGTCTTGGATCTATACACAGCTGGTCATTACTTGCAGTACAGAAAATAGCAAATGCACATACTAAGATGTAGAAACAAAAGAATGTTTAACAAGTACACTGGACATGTTAATGGCTAAAAAAAAGCACAAACATGCATTTATAGTCAGATGCCAAAATGCTTTAAGATTCATTTAAAAACACATCAGAGAATATTAATTGAAGTCAAATTTCCTAAATAACACTAGTAGTTAGGAATAGATTTTGCAAGACCCATAGTCACAACATATTTGAATTTAAAGGGACATTTAGCTTGAATTATTTGCATTTCAACAGATTGACATTTTCTGGCAGGGAACAGGGGATTTGCGTTTAGTGTTATAGAGCATGAGGTGTAAACATTTCAATGTTTGAAGATCTGCACGGCAAAAGTCCCAAAACACCTCAACAAGAAACCATAGACAAGGATTCCTGTCATTCTAGTTTTTGTTAAATGAGTTAGTTTTGTTCAATAACACAAATAAATATTTGGATTGCATTAGAAGCAAGATTTTTTTAGTTGAATCACTCAACCCATGTTGCATAATATACTTTCTTTACAGAGATTACAAGTTATAAAAGTAGCCATTGTAAGACGTCTCACTTTAAAGATGTAATCATGATTCATTAGCACTTTTGGTCATTTAGGGAAAGCTGATAACTGTTTCCCTTTCTATGCACACTGGTTTAAACGTCATGTTGTCCCATCAGAACTGTTAATAATAATAATAATAATAATACTACATGGGATTTGCATGGCACTATTCCTAATGCTGTTAAGAGAATATGCTTAAAGGATGGACCTTCAATCAACAGAGCTTCTGTTAAAGATGGTGATAGAAAGACTTACATCTATTGGTAGATAAATTAGATGTGTGTGGCTATGGGCCTGCTTTAGTGCAAGTGTGTGTGTGTGTGTGTGTGTGTGTGTGTGTGTGTGTGTGTGTGTGTGTGTGTGTGTGTGTGTGTGTGTGTGTGTAGATCTTACTTGTTGTAGAGAAGAGTCCTGGTGAAAGCCGCTGTCTTTAAAGTCCACCTCATCATCACTGGAAGAATGGATGTGGTGTGTATTCACCTAAAGAAAAATGTAAGCAAGAAAAGAAGAAAAATATATTGACCGCATCAACGGGCATTCCACACGACACTACTGATCAGGCAGAGCTGTCCAGTGTAATCAAATTCATCCATCTAGATGTTTGCATGTGCTCTGGCGCAGTGCATCCTAGTCTAAATCTTTATGAATATCTAAAATTGTATAAAATTAAGCTCAAAAACTGATCTGGAAAAATAAGAACTGAATTATTCAGTTACTATTTGATTTCATATCCAATGCACTGGAGTACAGAGACAACACAATAACAACTGGTTCATTGTCTAAATAACTGCATTGTAAAACCAACATGTAGTTTAGTAAACATTAGAGCTTGACATCAGTGATGATGTTCCTGTAGTTACTCACCAGGTCCACAGTGTTTCTCTTGTTTGTGTCAGACAGCTGCCCAGAAATAAAGGCCTCCCATTTGTCTCGGTCTTCTGCTGGAAGCTCTGTGACACACACACACAGTTTATACAAATACACACACTGCATCTTCATATACTGTATATTTAACAGAAATGTTAAAGAATGGTGCTTTGAGGTCCATTTCAGATGCAATTACATAAAGGAAAGTGAGATGAACAGAGAGCTAAGTGATGCGACATGAGAACAACACATCGAAATGTGGAGATCGATAAACAAGTCCTTACCAGAGATGAGTTGCTGTATCTGTGGACCGTTAGGGCCTTTGTCACAGTTATGAACTATAGAGTTGGCTATTCTGGTGAGGTGGCCCATGTATCCTCGTCGACGACCACCTTCTGCCCTATAACACAAATGAACACACCAGATATGAGGACATATCATTACGAGTCATTAGTCTGACCACTAGACCACTCTGTATATAATATATAGTATATACACACACTAATATAACCATAGTAGGGATCATGGTAGAGGAGCAAAGGACTTTTGGTGTATTATTTTCTACTGCAGGAAATGAATAAGGCATTTTTAAACTCTGACAGAGTGACTCGTGTTTTCACAGAGCAGAATACTCACTGATCTTTCTCGTTGGAGCTCCAGGCTTCTACAATTCTCTGTATAAACTGGCACTTTTGAAACAGCTGGTGGAAGAAAAACACAAACAAAGTAAATACATGAATGAATGATTGAATGGATGAATGTTCTATATTGTTTTAATGACTGATTGAACCCCAGCACTATTGTTTTAGAGATGTTATATGTTGAACTGCTATGCCTGTCATCTCTGCTCTGTGTCATGGTGTTGTCTCCTGGGTGCTGTGGTGCCCGGAGTCTGTCTTTTTAATTTTCTTCCTCCCAACCCCCTTCCCCTTAGGAAGCCTTTTGCCTCCTGTCAGGTCATAATTGAAAATAACAATTTGTTCTTAATTGATTTTCCTGGCTAAATAAAGGTTCTACTACTACAAACAATTCAGCGTGGCCACAATGTAGTAGTTCATAGTGACTTGTGTCTTTCAGTACAGTACAACAAATATAATCAACTTTATTTTATTTGATGAAATTGTTCCAATCTTACGTGTTTGATGAGGATGCTCTCCCTTGCAGGGTCCTGCTCTGTGTCTGGCTGGATCTCGGTGGGGGCGGGGGGCATAGCCAGAATCATGGCTGTACAGATCTCCACTTGAATGTGGAGGAAGTTGTTCCAGATGTATTTGAAATACATATCCTGTGGAGCAAAACAAAAAAATAAATAAAATAGGAACATCAGAATAGATTTGTCATTGTCTAACACTGAACTTTATCAGAGTACTAAAGAAAACATCAGTACTCCTTAATGATAAAACTCACTTTATTGTATTCCAAGAACATTTCATTGCAGCATTATAAAATGGCAGCCTTATATTCACAATCTGTAGCTACGACCTAAAAATAAGCTAAGACAGCATATTAAATGTTTCAAAAAGATTGAGGATTGGATAAGATGTTCGTGAGCATTGGCGCATAGCAACTGAGGGCAGAAGATTCTATGCTTTATGTGGGCAGTTAACTGGTTTAGACTATATTGTGAGTTATGTAAGTCTTATTTTATATGGGCTAAAAAGTTGAAATAAAAACAGAACATAAACTAAAGAAACCGTAACCCTAGTAACACAATCTTCAATCAATTTATTATAAACTTCCCAGAAAACTAACGTTAATGTCTCCCATGGAAGAACACTTTTTAGGAGATAAGATAATTGCAGCATTATAAAATGGCAGCGTTATATTCATAATCTGTAACTTCAACTTAAAAATAGAAAAAACAATGAAATGTTTCCCAAAAATAAAGAGACTACCTCAGCATAAGTTGTAAAGCATGTTACTGTAATGAGCTTGTAGGATTGGCAGTGTGAAAACAACCTGGCCTGAAGTAGATATTACTCACTAGTATTATTCCCAGTGTGTTGAGGTTAATGAGTTCTGTGTTAATGCTGTGAGTGTTGCTCTGCAGCAGACTGGCCACCAGTCTGACCACGTTGAGCCTGGTGTTGCCCACAGGGGGGTCCAGCACCCCCCACGTTGTCTTCATCAGATTCGCCTGTTGGTGGAGATCAAAAGCTCTGCTCAATATATACACAAGTGACTGGGATCCATCGACAGCAATTCCTGAATAGGTGTGTGGTAAAGAGTCCATGTCACATAGTGATTCTGTGGAACATCTGTCATCTTCAGTTGTTTTCTAAGAAACGTTTGAAACATACTAATCCAAACTAAACTGAGAACAGCTCATAACAGGTTGGACTTAACTTGGATTAAATAGTTCCATGCAGACTTGTCCCTTTAATATAAAATATATTGTTTTATGTTAAAGCAGCTTACACCTGTCTGTAAGTGTTTTTACCTTTGGGGGTTCCAGTAGCAGCTGGTGAAAGTCTTTGAGTCGGGGTCTCACAGCTTCCAGGATGCTGTGGTTGACTGAGAATGAAGGGTGGGACATCCCTGGGGGGCAATCCATATGACCCTCAAACCTATAACATAGAAGGTTATACCCTTACTATTTTGGACTGTGCCTAAAGTAGGACAAGAACAACAGTTATGGGTTAGGAATGTAGTATTGCAGCTTAAGTGAAAAACAGCAACTACTTAGCAAACTTCATAATGTATATATCCTGCATAGTTTCATTAGTAATATCAGGTTAGTTTATTATAGTAAGTTGTAACTTATTCTGAATATTTGTTTTGCTCTAGAGATACTCTATAGATGTATATCTTTCTTTTGTTCATGTTTTATGTATACTTTTATTCAGCCTTTTTTAGATGCTGCTATAGCAAAACTATTTCTCAATTTGGGATCAAGAAAGTAGATCTTATCTGATGTACAATAATCTATTTGTCACATCATTGTCCAGCACCCAATCCTCTACTACAGGGGTGGGGAACCTCCGGCCCCCGGGCCGTATACAGCCTGCGAGACCATTTGGCACGGCCCTCGAGGTGATTTATAAACACATGGAAAAAAGAAAAAAATGATAGAAATCTAGACCGCAAAAAAATGAAACAAGCGAGTGCCTGTTTTTCCTGGCCAAGGTCAGGGTCCTTGAACACAACACGGGCCTAACGTGTCATCACGTGGTAATTATGTCTCGTCTGACAGAGGTGTAGTGCTGACGGAGAGCACCAGAACACCGCTCCGGCACTTCCAAAAATGGCAGTAGCCTACCCATAAGGAGCCGTACACATGCCGCAGTTGTTGCGTGGCTGTGTCTTTAGTTGAAAGCCCAGTGGCGATCTGTTCATCTGTCATACTGATCATACAGTCAATAACTTTGTTGTTATTAGCATCTGGTTAGCTAACTATGCTAACAAATATAAGAGGCTTTTTCTACAACCAGTGAGGTAAAGGCACATCTTTATATGATCATTATAAAAAAAATAAGAGAATAAAGTAAACCGGTATAAAATACTATATGACAGTAAAAATAAGTTGTTATTAATAAACAAGAATAAAGTTTGAAAGGAGAGTGATTTGTAAAATATCCATAAAGAAAAATAAATGTGCTTACAGTTCTGTTTCATATGGGTGTTGAGAGATGTATCCATAGAGCTCCTAATGTTGCTCTCAAAGTGCACCAGATTGATGCTTTTAACTTCAACATTTAAAAAAAAGTCTTCCCGAGGGAGCATGCCCCGGGCCCCCCTAGAGGATGGAAGGTTTCTCTCTCCCCCCACTTACATCATGTTCACATGGATAGGAAACTAAATACATTTGCGTCCATATCTTTCTGTTTTGGTGGTCATGCCACAACCGTGCACGTGAATACTCGAGTCATGGTAAGATATCTGGATTAATTGGTTGCTTTTTCTTTGCACAGCATTATTTTTAAGCAGAGGTCAATAATTTGTATGGCCCACTGAGAATGTTGAAAAAATTGAAATGGCCCTTTAAACTTTCACACGAAGTACTTTGCAGTACTTAGTTCATCAGAACTCTTTAGTTCTCATGAAATAAGTACAGATCGCGTTCACACCGGAATAAGTCCCTGGGGGAGGATTAGGCAAATGAAGCCGCTGACGTCACTTCGTCTTCTTCTGCTGCTGCTGCTGCTGCT